TTGGAAAAAGAAATTTCACCAAGGCGTATTTATATAAGGTGGTGTTGTTTTATCAGCATTACGTAGTGTTTGATTGTCAAATTTGTTTATTTCGCTAGCGAGTGTTTGTATTTTCTGTCGCCCTTTTTCATTCGGGGAAGAATAGACGAAATTTGCTAAAAGCAAAAACAAAATACAAATAATTGTTGTATTTGTTGAATCCATATCACCTTGGCGACTTTAATGCTAAGGTGGTCAAGGAAGGGATCTTTGGCGCCACTGTCGGAAAATTCCGCCTCCACGACGAAACATCCGATAACGGACTGAGGCTGATCGACTTCACCGGGGCCCGAAACATGGTAATATGTAGTACTAGGTTCCAGCATAAGAACATCCACCAAGCTACATGGCTGTCTCCAGATCCAAAAACGAGAAACCAAGTCGATCATGTTGTGATAGATGGAAGGCATGCTTCAAGCGTTTTAGACGTACGTACACTCCGAGGGCCAAACATCGACTCGGAACACTATCTTGTTGTAGCCAAGATACGCATCCGCCTAGGCCAATTTATTCGCCACTCAACTAACACACCTGCTCTCTGAGAGCACTCTTCAACAATCCGACATACGCGAGCAGTCGAACCCCATTTCCCGATCATTAAGTACCGCCGCCGAATAAGTAGTTGGATTTCAGCGAACCCGAAAAAACAACTGGTACGATGAGGAATTTCAAGCAGCCGCAGAGAAAAAATACGCCGCCTATAGGGCCGTGCTGAGATCGGGCGCAACGCGAGCCATGTGGGATCGTTATAGGGAACTGAAGAAGNCGAACCCCATTTCCCGATCATTAAGTACCGCCGCCGAATAAGTAGTTGGATTTCAGCGAACCCGAAAAAACAACTGGTACGATGAGGAATTTCAAGCAGCCGCAGAGAAAAAATACGCCGCCTATAGGGCCGTGCTGAGATCGGGCGCAACGCGAGCCATGTGGGATCGTTATAGGGAACTGAAGAAGGAAGCGAGACGTATTTGCCGCAATAAGAAGAGAGAGGCCGAAATACGTGAGGGCGAAGAGCTTGAGATGCTGGCCGACAGGGAGAACGCCCGAAAGTAGTGAAGAAGACGAACCCGATCCTCAGTCGATGATGATGGAGTAGCTGTCCCACCGCCTGACTATGACGAGGTACGAATAGCGATTACGCGGCTGAAAAACAACAAAGCTGCTGGAGCTGACGGCCTGCCAGCCGAGCTATTCAAGTACGGCGGCGAGGAGCTGATGAGGTGCATGCATCAGCTCGTATGCAGAATATGGTCAGATGAACGCATGCCCGACGACTGGAATTTAAGTGTGGTCTGTCCAATCCACAAGAAAGGCGACCCCGCCATACGCCCCAGCTACCGCGGAATCAGCCTTCTATGCATAGTTTATAAGGTCTTATCGAGTGTATTGTGCGAAAGACTGAAGCCC